CTTTAGTGAGCTAAATACACGCTTCTCTCAATGTAATTAGAATAAATATGAAAGCTATTAACGCTTGTTCAAAAAATCCACACAAAGAATGGGAATATAATGGATGCTAAACAAATAGGTTTAACCTGTTAATTCCTATAGATTAAGTGTGTGCCTTTCTTTGAATACCTAACAGTACTCCCCGACTCCATTAGCTAAGTTGTTTAAAGTCACGAGAAGAATTATTTGGTACACATAATGAATTTTGCTTACCAGTTTACCCAGATATATTCATCCTAGCTGAATCATTTAGAAACTTTCATAAACTTTATTCAGGTCTAGGGTAAACGAATCATGAATAACTCGCCTAAGATTGAGCTAAATGGATCCAGCAGTTCTAGTCTAAATAGGGTATAAAATATATTAATAGAATTAAAAATTAGCCCATTCAACATAAATATGTGAAGTGAATACTGATAACTTTATATTAGTATCTCTTATAAAAAAGTATAAAATGCTTTATCAATACGTCTGACCAAATTAATATATTATAGATTTGTATATAAGGAGAAATACTCTCGGCTCACATAGGCAAGCTCATCCAAACTAGGCTGACCGATTCGTTTATTAGGATCTCTAGATGAATAATCAACTTCCTTAGCAGCTACTTGAAGCTGTTTGATCTGTCGATACGCATCCGCCAATGCCTGTTCTGCTCGCTCTGCGCGGGCTAAAGCTGCCTGTGGGCTCATTGAATTTGGGTTCCTCTCGGAATTGACGCTAGCTGACAGCCCGGTCAGAGTACCTCGTAGGCCTATGCTGTTGTTGATTAGTGAGGAATGAATTAAAACAATAGTTAGGCGACATAAACTGCAAGGTAAAACATCTTAGCTAAATTTCTCTACGGGTTTAATATTGCTGTATTGCTAAGAGAACTTAAAAGAATCATTCGGATTTGTTACCGACAGTAAGGTATGCAATTTTAAAAAGTATACTTTACCCTTTTACTTTTAGAAATAACGGTTTACTTAATAATGATGTATGACGGATAGCCAGACCTGCTATGGCAAATCCAAAATAAAAATATCAACTTGATTGCATGACTTAAATGCTTTAATATAAAGAGTATACGTTTTTTAAAACTCTGATAAAGTCTAAATCAGGCTCAGATTAAAATGACTGGTAAAACAGAATCCCAAAAAGTCCATTTGGCTAAAGATTATTACTAAATATTGAAGTCAATTTATGATTATACAATACGCCCTGACCTGCATCACAATGAATTAAAAATATTAGTTTATATTATAATGTAAGATAAAGAAGATTTTATAAAGAAATCGTCTTAAATAATCTCTTATTTTAAACGAAAGGGCTTACCTGGAGGCCAACTTAGCGTTTTCCTCTTTGAGGATTACATTTTCACGTTTCGAATCATCCAAAGTATGCTCCAGCTAGTAATGAAAATTTTGCATGAGAATGCTTTGGTTAAGTATATCTCGACACTGCAATGATATATTTAAACGGGGTATGGGAGTGACCTAATTGCCTTGGGCGTAGGCAATATAATTATGTCTAAGTTCATTTGTAGGCTTGAATTTTACCATTTTGTATAAGGCTCTACTCACTTCAAGTTATCTACAAGTACTCACCTAACCTTGGCAGTCTATAGTAAACTCTAATTTATATGCCTTTACAGGAAAATGATCAGTGAGAATCGCAGGTGTAACCTGGCTAGAGTAAGATAACAGTAAGTATATAGTGGTTTTCA